TGAGCAATAGGTAAAAGTCACAGAAATTAGCATACTGGGCAATAGGTGAAAGTCACAGAAATTAGCATACAGGGCAATAGGTGAAAGTCACAGAAATTAGCATACAGGGCAATAGATGGAAGTCACAGAAATTAGCATACAGGGCAATAGGTGAAAGTCACAGAAATTAGCATACAGGGCAATAGGTAAAAGTCACAGAAATTAGCATACTGGGCAATAGGTGAAAGTCACAGAAATTAGCATACAGGGCAATAGATGGAAGTCACAGAAATTAGCATACAGGGCAATAGGTGAAAGTCACAGAAATTAGCATACTGGGCAATAGGTGAAAGTCACAGAAATTAGCATACAGGGCAATAGGATGAAGTCACAGAAATTAGCATACAGGGCAATAGGTGAAAGTCACAGAAATTAGAATACAAGGCAATAGGTGAAAGTCACAGAAATTAGCATACAGGGCAATAGATGAAATCACAGAAAATACTAATTTATAAAATTTACTCACGTTCTCCAGATACGTGAAGACTTGAAAAAATTTTAACCTCTCCACCACCATCTCTGACACTCTCTACTAACGCTACATATCTTTGTCTTTTAGCGATATCCTGTGATCTAGTGGGAGATAAAGAAAAACAATAAACCATCTGAATATCTATTCATTCTGTATGCTATTCTTGAGTCATTCCCAGCTTTCAGAAAATACATATTTTGCCAAGGCTATGTTTGTTTGTATGTACTAACCTGAATAGTTCGTCACTCACTAACAATGTCTCAATTGCACTGGCTTCGTTAGCTTTCTCAACATGTTTAATCCTGTAAAAAAAGTACAGTTTACCCTCTTTGATTGTAAAACAAATGGTCTGTTAGTTGCTCACTGATCATTATGATGGATCATTTTAATACTAATGTATGAAAATGCTGGTTTCTGTGTGGTTACTAGAAAAATGGGTGTGCATGTTAGGGACACACCCACATAAAATTAGTTGAGATATTGAATGAAGAAACCAAGTATGAGCTACATAAGCTTTACCTTATTTTAGCAAAAATTTGCATAATGTGAGTGAATCTAATCAGCTTGTCACAAAATGAACAAACACGATAAAATATAAACCAAGGTAACATTATATACTTAAAATATCTGCTAAATATAAAAATTTGTTATAGAATAAATACATGGATGGATATTGTAATTTGACTAGTACCTTAGTTTGATGTAAGGAGGGGTAAGATTAATAATTTTAATACATGACTTACCCGTAGAAAGCTCTATCTGGCTCAGTTTGCAGCATTTGATAAAATGATTCTAAGGCTTTCACTTCACTGCTAGCTTTAGTTTCTGTAAGACGTGCATTTACAGCTGGGTCAGATAGAATTTCTGTAACAAAAGAAATAAACAAGGTGACCCTTAATCTCATTGTCCCGGTACATGCAGGTCAAGTTCATAGTAGTATGAAGTATGTGACATAATATATGTTTATGTGAATATCGTAAAAGACATTCAAGACCAGAGCATCAATTTTAATGTTCTTTGAATATAATTAACACATATTATTTAAGTATCTGAAGTACAAGCTGCATTGCATATACATGTACTTGTATTGTATAAACAAATAAAGAATACTGTAAAATACTTTATTTTCGCTTGAAATTTATTTTTGCTATTTTCGCTGGAGGGATGATTCCGTGAAAATAAAATCCAGTGAATATACTTTTTTTCCTATATTTCACATTAAACTCATCAAAAATCAGTGAAAATAAATTCCATACAAAACGCCCAAAAAGCCTTTTCAGCGAAAATTAATTCCAGCGAAAATAAAGTATTCCACAGTGCATTAATTTAGCTCCACTGTAGATATTCAGCTTTAATGACCCATAGAGTAAATCATGGGATGTTTTATTATACCGAATATAAATTGTTTGAAGTCTGTTGCAGATGTCATTTTTTATCACAGTATTGACAGCAAAAATAAGCCCAAGATAACAGTAGCATTTCTCACTACACGTATGTATAAAAATATCAGTACTGTTTTGACTTTAAATTGTAGCATTAAATTTTAGATAAAAATGTAGTTACATATTTGTCAACAGAATCATTATGTAATACACAACAAACACAGACTTACCTTTTAATGCATGTTTGAATCCTGAAGAAGCGTGGACCAACAAAAATTTAGATTTATTCTCCAGTAAAAGTTTGATGTCATTTTTCACAGCTTGATTGAACATGTAGTCATAAAATTGATCCTAGTAAAAGTACATTAGATTGAAAGAACAAAAATTAGGCTAAAAATACCTTGTCTTCACATGTGAGATGGGTTTAAAATACTAGCTTGATTCTAACTAACTATGGTTACATCAGTGTCATTCACATTAGAGATCTTGGTATGTGCTAAGACTCAACCAAACCCAAAAAAACTTGATTGTCAGCGAGGCATATTTATGTGCTGCACGCTGGAAGTGTTTTTTTATTGCAATGCTCCATCAATGGATATAATTTCAATATAGCAATTATTATTATATGCATATCATTTTCCATGTTTGGGCCAAATAAACAATCATAGAATGAGGGCATGATTTTGGCAGCCAAGCGTGAATGCAAATAATACTGTAATCCTTCTGCAAACACAAAGGATGAAGAATTTCGGCATGTGCAGAGTTCCCATAATTTGAACTAAGCAATTGTATTATGCACCAACTTAATAGGACATGGATACATTAACAGGTTTAGCAGTAGTCCCAGTTTATTGATAGCTGTTTTATTACAAATGTTTTATGTTCATGTAGGTAGGATAAGCAATGATGAAGCATTACATGTAGTATATTTACTTATGCTGCTTTTAGTAAAATAAGTGAATGAAACAAACAGTACCTTGACAAATCCAGGGCTTCCCACCAGAATGCACTTGACAACTGTTGAAAAAAAGAAATGATACATGTTTTAAATAAAATCAAAATGTGATTACCATCAAGTTACTGGTATGTTCGACAGAGGAAAATTGACTTCACAAATAATCTTGTTTGAAGATTAGAATTGTATGCATCAATCAGTGGTAGACCAGTGATATATATAAACCTCAAATGATATGAATGGACTCAAAACTGAAGTTAATCAATAATAGAATTATTTCCCCCACCAGTGGCCGTCTTAGATTGGATTGACAACTCTACTCAAAATACTTTATACCGTCAACATTTGTTTTGTATTAGTATTGCTTACATAAAGAAATCATACAATTAATTGCCAAAAAACATAAAACTAACCATCAAAGTTAATATGTCTAAGTATGGCTTGCATCAAAGAATCATAAAATTTGAGCAACCCCTTGTCATGTTGTGAACACATTCCTTTACGTTTTCTTGGGATGTTGTTTTCAATCTTGGCTCTGACTATAGTCATACTGGACAGTACTAAGCACACATGTGCCAATCCTTCTTGCATCACAATAGCAGCTACATCTGCATTCTGGTTTGGGTCACAAGCTGTATCTGTATACCAA